ATATTCAGTTCATTTTGTACACATTAAAACTTGATGAGGATCTTCCAACCTACTGTGAATTTTCCCTCTGAGCAGTATATGCAACTTCTTCTGTGTGATGTAAATATAGCACTCAAAATTGTGCATGCCTATTTTGATGCCCAAATTTACGTTGCACTATTCACATAGTGTGCACACTGGCAGAGTTGATTTCATTTCATTCTTTTTTCTCAGACTTAATGTATTAGAGATTATTTTGGTGTTACAAATTACCTTCTTGCATAATTTTAGTTGTCAGCTGGATCCTGGCTAATTTTTTTTTATTTATCGTAGAAATGAGGTCTCACCAAGTTGCCTGGGGCAGTCTCATGCCTGTGGGCTCCATCCTGTCACCTTGGCCTCCCAAAGTACTGTGATTATAAGCATAGGCCACTGCACCCAACCTTAGATATTTAATCTTTTCCAGACATCTATCTATATCTCAACTGAAATTTGTAAAGAAAACTTTTCAACCTGTATTGATAAAATACATTTTACGGTGAATATCTGGAGGTAAAATAAATGGATCCATTTTTTGTTAAAAGGTATAAACCCAGGTAGGAGAGGCACTGACACACAGACAAGCCTGAATCAAGTATCAAGTCAGGCCATCCTATGACTTGGGATGTCCTCTTTCGCAGTCCTGATAACTGAAGTGCCTAGAGACTACACTCTCAGGAGACACTGAACTTGCTGTCCCGTGTGCCTGAGAGACTTCATGTGGGTTCTTACAACTTCTCACTAGGTGAGATATTGTATAATCTTGGATTGTTTTATTCCTTTCACAAGTGAAACTTAATCCAGAATGAAAGTAGGGACTCCAAGAAACATAGAATACACTTACTTCACATTTTGCCTTAGCATCACCATTTTTCCTTAGACTGACATGCTTTGAATCAAGCATAGAATAGACATAGATGATTTCCAATAAGCAGGTTTTAGGAGGCATTAAGACCTTTTAAGATTACATTTTTCCGCAGGCCAAGAGGCAGCCTACTTCATTTCCCTCAACATATCTCCATCAGATGCAAAACCAGGGCAACCCAACCACCCAACCTTTCAACTTGAGGTTTATATACTAATCTCTAGGAAACATTCAGGTTCTTTGTCAAGGGGGAAATCAAAGATCACCTCTTGACTGGTTGAAGCCATAGAAATTATAATAAGACCACTCTTTGGTCAAGAAGTTTGTGGATTTCAAGCATCTCACAAGTCTCTTATTGGAAAACCCCTTCCCCTTGACTCCTCCCATCTAGCACATCACCTGAGGACATGAGATGATAATGTCTGGAACCAGGAAAATATAAAACTCATGTGACTACAGTCTACATCAAAGACCCATGGCCCTGGACAGTCCTGTGGGCTTAAACCCCCCTTTCCCCAAAGGACTTTAAAAAACCCAATTCTTGGCCCTTCCACACCTCGCTTGCCTCCATCTGCCCACTTTCTAATCTGTGAAAGGTTGTTATTAAACCTTACTTCTTTCTACTTCCTCCTTTGTTGCAATCATGCATTATCCCTATGACAACAGTCCACCTCACCACAATTTACACTTTCACAGAGGACAGGAATCATTTCTGTCTTTTTCCCTAAAGACCAGCAATGTGTGTAAAAATGCAAGCAACCTCTCACCTAATCAACTTAAATGTATTTCCTATAAATTTTTATCTTGGAAGAAGACAAATCTTAGACTAAAAGAACAGCGAATGTAACCATGAAATGTCAAAATAAGGCAGAGTAAGACATCGATAGATACATTTCCCATAGATCGCTTTTAGGAAGCATTCAAATATTTTAAAACTATATTTGACTGTAGACCAATTTGGCAGCCTTTCCCACTTTTTAGCAATTCAAAAGGAAATCTCATAAGATGTAAGAACAGGACAACCCATAATAATAATCACTAAGAATCTTTCAGCATGGGTGTGGTGGCTCTTGCCCATGATCCCAGCACTTTGGGAGATGACAGAATTTCCTGAGCATATAGTTTCCACTTTCCACAGCAACTTAGTGAGCCCTCGTCTCTCCAACAAATAAAAAAATTATCCAGGAATGGTGGTGCACACTTGTGGTTCCAGCTACTTGGAAGGCTAAAGTGGAAGGTTCTCAAGTAGGTTGAGACGGCAGTGGCCATGAGTGTGCCATTGCTTTACAGCCAGGGGAAACAGTGAGACTCCTAAAAAAATAAAATCCAGGCTCAGTAACTCAAGCTATAATCCCAGCACTTTGGGAGGCCAAGGAAAGAGGATTGTGTGAGCCTGCAGGTTAGAGGCAAGTTCAGGCAATTTGGTGAGACCTTGTCTTTACAGTAAATAAATTATCCAGGTGTGGTAGCACATGTCTGTAGTCCACATAACACAGGAGGGGGCCACAAAATTATTGATGAATACATTATGTGACAGACTGAGGTTACAACTAAAATATATATGCTCAAGTGTTTTATCACATAAACAAAGATCTGAGTACCACATGTACTCACTCATAAATGGACCCTGAACAATTATCAGAACACTGTAAGAAAGTGATTGGCAGTAGTGGGACACTGCCATGGTGGGGGATATAACATCAAAAAGGGTCCCAAACCTTTACATGTTCAATGACTGCTTATGACCTAACCCTGAATTGTACACTATCTTTTATTTTATTTTATTTTTTTGAGTTGGAGTCTCTCTTTGTTGTCCAGAGTGGAGTGTACTGGCACACTTCTGGCTACGGCAGCCTCGACCTGCTTGGGCTCCGCAATCCTTGCGTCTCAGCCTTCCAAGTAGCCATAACTACATGTGTTCATTACCACGCCTGGCTACTTTTGATTTATTGTAGAGAGAGGTCTAACCAAGTTGCCCAGGCAGGTCTTGAACCCGTGGCCTCAGGCAATCCACTCCCCTCAGACTCCCAAAGTGCTGGGTTTACAAGTTGAGCAACCGAGGTCAGTCATATCCTACATTTAAATTAAGAATAATAGAAAAAAAACAAAGAGAAAACCACAGAAACCCAGTGTCCATGGATGAGGAAAATATCAATGCACAATTTCTATTCCATATTAAAGATTTGAAGTCATTTCTTTGTGGAAAAATCACATTTGAATAGAAATGTAAAAATTAGTAGAAACATTGTGTCAGAATGTTGCAACATTACATCATGATCAAGCTCCCTTTATGTCAGGGACGCTTAGGAGATCAGCATTTGGGAATTCATCCATACAATTAGTAACATTAAAACATATAGCTGGGCTCGGTGGCTCAGCCTGTAATCCCACGCCTTTGGGAGGCTGAGGTGAGTGAATTGCCTGAGCCCACAGGTTCGAGACCCACCTGAGCAGCGAGATCTCATCTCTACAATAAATCAAAAAATCAGCCGGACATGGTAGTGCATGCCTGTAATTCCAGCTACTTGGAAGGCTGAGGTGGAAGGATCACCAGAGCCCAGCAGGTCGAGGCTGCGGTGGCCGGAAGCAGCCATTGCACCCCAGTCTGGGGAACAGAGTGAGACTCTAACTCAAAAAAAAATATATATATATATATATATATATATAAAATCTTGTTAATAGATTAAAAAGATATTGTAAAATTTACAAAAAAATTTATATTTAAATATCAAATTATAAAGAAATGTAAAATATTTCTGAACATGAAAAATAGTAGGAATGAAAAATAATGAAAATACATGATTGGGAAGAAAGATTAAATGGTACTATTAAGATAATAATCCTCTAATCAGTTTATCAATTGAATTTGATACTGATATACAAACAGCCGTTTGTGTTCTGAAGAAAACAAATTTTTTGCAAAAAATATTTAAATTGGAAATTCATAAAATGTTTGGAGCCACCGAGCCCAGCCGGCATTTCTTATCAGATGAGATTATCTGAACAAGTCACGTCTACATGTTGAAGATATGCCTTTATTTTTTAAAAATTAAATTAAATGTATTTTATGAGTCTGAGTATCACTCCGTAACCCAGGCAGGTGTGAAGTGTCTCCACAGAGCTTATCACCATCCTGACCTCCTGAGCTCAACAGATTCTTCCTTCTCAGGCTCCCAAGAATCTGAAACTACAGGCATGTGTGACCACTCTTGGCTAAATTGTTTAAGCTTTTATATCTACATGGATGTGCTATGTTGTTTTGGTTAATCTCAAATTTCTGGGCTCAAGCAATTCTCTCCCCTCTCTCTCCCCCAGCACTGACCTGGATAAAACCCCCCAAAAGCACACAAATCCCAAGAGGGGCCTTGGCCCTTCATCTTCTCGGTTTTAATGGTCCTCTAAATAAAGTCACAGCCCCTGTTCCAACTCCTTGTCTTTACTTTGGCTGTCCCACCAGGCAGAACCAGGTTTGTATCTGGTGACAAACTGCCAATTACCCTTGAAAGAACAAAGAGTGGGAAGCCATTTTTCATCTTGTTCTGAAACCCTGACACAATGATGAGAAAGTAGAAGCTATACTTATAGAGAAACGCACATTTTAGGTATAATTAAATTTAACGACTTTGTCTTTTTAGAAACAGACTTCCAGGTATCTGTGGTATCTCATAGTGTCAATCCAGCTTGCATAGAGTAAAGGGAATTTACAAGGCCTAAGACATCATGCATTGGGCAAGGATTGTAAAAGTCATGAAACTTGTAATTACAAAAGTTATGACGTCTTAGAGGGAGGCCAGGTGAAGATTCGATCTTCCAGTAAATTGGGCACTAGCTACAGGAAAGCCAAAGACCCCATGAAGCTACCCACTGGGAATGCCTAGGAGATAAGGGGAGGTGCACCCTCCACTAGCTCTTAGGAATGCCATTTGGGAAGGTGCAGGAGAATTAGAATCCTTGTCATGCCCGGGGCTATGTTAATATGGACAGACATTAATGGGTCTCTGTGTCACAGGATCCCCAAGACATCCACAAGTGGTTGACAAGGAAGTCACGGCAGTCACGTGCAACAACTCCAAGAAAATAATTTAAGCCAGGACTCTTGGGGTTGAACTTTTCTTACCCTCTCCAGTATCCTATCAACCCTGATGACTCGGTCTAGGGATTTCCACCTGGACACTGCAGAGCAGGCAACTGGGGCTGTCACCCACCAGCACCTGCGCGTGGCCGGCTTCTCCCTGCCTATTCTCCAGGTCTTTACCCCAAGGCCCTGCGGGGACACCAGACCACAAGTCCTGACTGGGACTTAAGGATTCCCGATCCGCTGTTGGCCTCTAGGAACTCCTTAACACTGTTCTGGAGCCTCCGTTTACCTTCTAGGAGGAGAGAGGGATGGGGCCAGGACCACAGTCCCTTCCTCCAGGGGCTACCATGTGGGTCAGACCCCCATGACACTCCTGGGTCCCACACATATGCAGCGCGGGTTTGCCTGGAGAAGCCTTCAGTATGGCGAGATCGGCAGGGGGACAGGACCCTGGGGACCGAACCAGACCCACCCTGTGAAGAAGGGACCAGGGCCAAGATGCCAGCGGGCACGGCTCCAGGTTCCAAACTGAGGGGGAGGCCGGTCTGCCACAGCCGGGTCATCCGTGTCCATCCTGTCTCTCGCTCTCGCACCCACAACCATACTCACCGGCTCCCGACTTCTGGGTGTCCCAGTGTCTTCCTTACTTACTCCCCAGACCTGCATCTCACAGGGTGAAAAAGGAAGAAGCAAAGACATGCTGCTGTTTCCGAGATGATTCGGCACTTCCACAGGACCAGAAAACAAAAGGCCCAGTGAGAACCCGGAAGCCATTACCTCATTTTAATCTCCTTTCTGATTGGGCAGCTTCCGAACTAGCATCCGCTGATTGGATAAGGCGACAGGCCACCACCCTTCTGATCTTGTATGACAGCAGATGTGATTCAACGGGGCTGGAGGAGGCAAGAAAAAAGAAAAGCATGTTTTTTTCTTGTAGCATTTTGAGGTTGAGTTGCCTCCCTGCACCGGAAGTTGAGGGGAGGAGCAGGATGTGGCATGCATTGCGCAGCATGCTGGGAACTGTAGTACAAGAATGAGGCCTGGTGACTAGATCGCTGGGCTGCAGGACTCTGTCGCAGTCTGCGGAGGCAGTAAAACACTTCATTGTACCTTGTGAGTAGTTTCAAGGGGAATCCACATTTTTTGTCCTGCTGGGAAAATCCACATCCACCAGTGACATGTTGGACAAACTGGCCATTGCCACACTCAAATACCAAAGAAACAAGCCCCCTGAAAGAAGAGTAAAAAGTAAAAAGGAATATATAAATGAATCAATAAATAAAATAGAAAAAAAAAAAAAGAAATACACCCACCCCCACACCCAGCGCGCATGCTCCTGGATAAAAGGAGAGTGTTTCGCAAATACTTCTGGTCGTCTTCCTCTATGGGAGGTTTTCGATCCTCAATAAGTTCTCCTTTAAAAAAAAAAAAAGAGGGAGAGTGTAAGAGAAAAGAGAAATACACAGATGCAAGAAATTCACGAATCCAAATTATCTTGTGTATCCGAATATTAAAGACTCGAGGCCGGACTTGGTTGCTCAGTCTGTAATCCTTGCACTTTGGGAGGCTGAGGTGAGTGGATTGCCAGAGCTGGGGCCTCAAAACCAGCCAGGGCAACTTGGCAAGACCTCTTCTGTACAATAAATCAGAAAAATTAGTCGAGTGTGGTAGAGCGTTACTGCAGTTTCAGCAACTTGGAAGGTAGAGTCGAAAGGATCGCCTGAGACCAGGAGGTCGAGGCTGCAGTGGCCAGGAGTGTGCCACTGTCCTCCAGCCTGGGGGACAGAGTGTGACTCCAACTCCAAAAAAAAAAAAAAAAAATTAAAGACTCGTCTTATGCACTCAATGACCATGGAGCAGATAAGCTTCTAAATCAGGCTCCCAATGCAATGACATATTCTCTAGAACCCCCAAAGGACAATGTTAGTGATCTAGATGCTACCATTACTGAGCCAGATCTAACAAATCATCTCCATCCATTAGGAGAAATCAGGATGTTCACTATTGTAAGAACTCATCTCTGAGTTTGGAGAAAACTGGACACTCTGTTGTACAAAGACAGCACTTCTGAAGGGGTTGCTGAGAATTCATTTGATAGAAGAATTTTTTTTCTCCTGAAAGCAAAATGAGATAAGAAAAGGAACTGGGTGATTTTCAATACCTGCAGAGTAAACAAAAAATGGAGAATGCTGCCAGAGCCCGTGAGTTCATGACCAACCCAGGCAATTTGGTGAGACGTCATCTCTACAAGACAAATTTAAAAGAAAATAGCCAGGCATCGTAGTGGTCATCTGTAATTCTGGATACTTGGAAGCTTGAAGTGGAAGGATTACCAGAGCCCAGCAGGTTGATGCTGGGGTGGCCGTGAGATGTACTCCAGCCGTGGTGACTGAATGAGACTCCAACTAAAAAAAAAATCATAAAAAAGAATCCCAAGCAACCAGATGAAAAAAAGGGGACAGACTTCAGACTGTGGGATTCCTGCATAGGCAGGAGATCTTCCCCCTTATGCAGCTCTGGTCCCCACCTTGGAGCATCCTTGAACAAAATGAAGCCACATTTCCTATCTCTTGCCTTGAAAGGAACCCACCAAGTGTGGCAGACTTAGGGACGTGGCCTCCTGGGACCTCACTTGCCCAATTTTTATCATTTCTATACTCTAGATCAAGTATTGTACACTGAAATTATAGCCCCAGTGTCATCTGCTTGGTCTCAGACTTCTGCTTCATTGGTGGTCAGGTAATGGCCACTCAGGACATGGAAGTTCAGCCATCATTGCCTCCTTGAGTGGATAAGGCGATGGCTGGTCTGTGGGCTTCTGCCCACCCTAGTCGAGGTGACTGGTTGCTTTTCAAATCTGGTGACACCACTGCTCTGGCCCTGCCTAGGATTCTCACCCTGCCTTGGGCAAAATCTGAGTTTTGGTCAGGTTCACATGTTTACTGTATGATCATCCTATATATCTATAGTACAAATGCTCTTCCAGAGGTCAGGTGAGGCCAGGTTCGGCCCCCCTGGGTATAAGACTTGTGCCCTTTAAGGAAGATACTGTCACATGGATCAGCCAGCATAAGGAACAAGACCTGCTGCTGACTGGCTGAGGCTTTGACAATGCCATACTCACCCTCCCATTCAGAGACTTCCATTGTCCAGTTTCTTTGTTAACACTGATTTCATAGGTCTGAGGAGTTATGTGGAGCTTTGGGGCACCTTGCTGGGTACTGCCTTGACTTTTTTAGGGCCATGTGTGTCACTTTCTTATGAGAAAGCTAATATGTAGATGTCACCATATGGGACGATATCTAAGCATTTACTGTGGACTGGGCAGACCCTGGTGTTGGAGGCCTAGTGGGATAGCAAGGTGATGTTGTCCTGTGCTCCCACTCTCACAGGGAACCTAGGATAAGACAGGAGCCCAGCATCCTTGTTCAAAGATGTGAAATGAAAACAATTCACTCCTGATCTTCAGGTGCATAAGGAGCTTTAGGACCAAATTTCAGGAAATACATCATGAAATAGCCACAGTCTGTTCTGAGCCAGGTGTATGCAGGCCACACCTGAGCATCCAGGCTCCCAGAAAGCAACCTGTTTCCCTGCAATCAATGGAAGCTTCTACCTGCAGTTGTGCCTCAGTTTTGGGATCAGTCCAGTTAGATGACATTGGGCGAGGATGGCTTCTAATTGAGGGGTGCTGCCACATTTTTTTTTTAGTTAGAATGCACTCTGTCATCCAGGTTGGAGTGCAGTAGCATTCATGGCAGCCACAGCCTCCACATGTTGGACTAGGTGATGCTTCTACCTCAGTCTTCCAGGTATTTGGAACTACAGGCACATGCCATCATGTCCAGTTATTTATGTATTTATTTATTTTGAGTTGGAGTCTACTCTGTCACCCAGGCTGTAGGGCTGTGGCATGCTCCCGGCCACCACAGCATTGACCTACTAGGCTTAGGCAATCCTTCCACCTCAGCCTTCCAAGTAGCTGGAACTACAGGCACATGCAACCATGCCCAGCTAGTTTTTTTTTATTTCGAGTTGGAGTCTCACTCTGTCACCCAGACTGAAGTGCAGTGGCCGCTCCCAGCCATTGCAGTCTCAACCTGCTGTGCTCTGGTGATTCTTCTGCCTCAGCCTTCCAAGTAGCTGGGACTACTAGCACACACTACCACACCCGGCTAATTTTTGATTTATTGTAGAGATGAGGTCTCACCAAGTTGGTCAGGCAGATCTCGAATCCGAGAGATCAGGAAATCCACTCACCTCAGCCTCCCAAAGTGCTGGGATTACAGGCTGAGCCACAGAACCCTGCCTAATTTTTTGATTTATTGTAGAGATGAGATCTTACCAAGTTGCCCAGTCTCATCTCATACCTGTGTACTCAGACAATCCAGTCACCTCAGTCTCTCAAAGCGCTGGGATTACAGGCTGAGCCATCGATCCTGGCCCATTGTATGTTTTTATTTAATGAATACATAGATTAAGTTTTGAAAACTGAAGAAAGTTGTTCTTACCCATATCAGTCTATTGGAAGAACAAATTGTTCTTGACTGTAATCTGGTTTTGGTCATGAGCATACAGTAAACTTCGGACTGTTTACTGAGACTATGTAAACTTAATATGTTTTAATAAGCAGAATTGCACATAAAACATTAATGACTGGCCACACAATAAATTGTTATGCTGCCAGTAGTGTTAATCTATTCCACCTTACTCAAAAGTATACGTAAATGAGGACGATATACTATTGACTAAAGTATGGAATGACATCTTTAAAGATCCTTTTTTTCCACTGCAGCCTTGACCTGCTGGGCTCAAGTGATGTTTTCACCTCAGCCTTCCAAGCAGCTGGAGATGCAGGAACATGTCACCACTCTTGGGTAATTTTTTCATTTACTGTAGAAATGAGGTATTGCCTAGCTGCCCAGTTTGATCTTGAACCTGTGGGCTCAGGCAGTCCCTTCACCTTGGCCTCCCAAAATGCTGGGATTATAGGCATGAGCCACTGCTTCTATCCTGTGTAGCTATTTTTTTCATGGTTACCATGAAAATACATGAAGCATCTTAAGTTGACAACAATATGTATTAAACCGGTAGGCATATAAAGTTAGTTGCATGCAGAGTGATTTCTCTTAGCATCACTCCTTCACTGATATTGATGTCACTGATTACATATTTTTCAATTCTATATTTCTTAACAGATGTCTATGAGATTTTCCCCTTTGTCTTTAAATTTGGTAGCAAGATTAAACATTACATGCACCATCATCCTGATACTACAGTATTCTGTGTTTGTTTATGTAACAAAAGGGCAAGTGCAAAAAACGCAGAATGTATTCATATAAAAATTGTGGGATATATATTATGCATATATATGGATATGTATATATATTTTATAAAGAATATACAAACATGTATATGTAGATTTCATCCACATACATTTGCTTTTTGACATTTCTTTTAGACAAATGTAAATTTTCCTTTAATCTCTTCAATTTTACTGTTTTTTAAATAAAAACATTTATTTAAAAAAGTTGTGGGCTGGGATCGGTGGCTCTGCCTGTAATTTCAGCCCTTTGAGAAGCCAAGTCAAGTAGATTGTCTGAGGCCCCGGGCTGGAGACCAACCTGGGATAATTGGCGAGATCTCCTCATAACTGCAATAAATCAAAAAAATTAGCCCGGCGTTGTATCGTGCACCTGTACTTCTGGTTGCTTGTAAGGCTGAGGTGGAAGGATTGCTTGAGCCTGGCAGGTCAATGCTAGGGTAGCCATGAGCATGCCACTATACTCCAGTCTGGGTTAGGGTGAGACTCCAATACCCCCAAGGAAAATAAATTGTGTATTTATTCCTGTTTGAAAATCAGTCATCTTCAAAGTACTCTATTTTTGATATGATACTCCTTTCAAGATGCTTTCTTCTCTGCTGTGAAACACTTTAGAACTTGTCAGTTTTCATGCCTTTCAGTGCTTCCACTGTGTTCTGTTTTATCTCTTCCAAATTGGCAAAGTGTTTCTTTCTGAGGACTTTTCTCAGGCAGTGAAACAATAAAAATGTCACTTGGGGTGAGATTCAGTGAATGGACAGAGTGAGGCACAGGGGTCATGATGGTTTAGGATAGAAACTACTGAATACTCAGCATAGTGTGGACAGGTACTTTGCCAGGGTGGAAGAACCAGTCACCTGTTTAGCACAAGACTGTTTCTTCCATCGTGCTCCCCATCACAAAAACA